TATTAGGCAGATGAAAGGAAAAAAATAATAAAGCTGGAGCCTGATAAAAATAGAAATACCCCTTGATCAACCTTCCCTCACCCCCATGTCCCCCATGGCAGAGAAAGCCACAGTGGGAGTTCTGGAGACACAGTGACCAGTGAGACAGTGGGGGAGGCACCTGCAGGGAGCTGTGAACGGAGAAGAGGCAGGAAGAGGTGGAGGCGGCAGTGTGGGTGGTGGGGTCTTGGAGCACCAGCAACTGGCGGTCTGTCTTCTGGGTGAACAGGAGCTGCAGGAGGTGAGTGAAGGTTCATGGGAGCTGGAGGGATCGCAGAGGACCCACCAGTTCCCTGATGCCCTGGCCCAGGTCTCCAGTGCCAGCCCATTTCTCAGATGGAAAAACAAAGGCTCCAGAGAGAAAGCTGGAATGTGGTCTTGGTGTCCAGTCTCCCAACATGAGCGAGGACTGTGGACGGAGGCTGCTGGTTCTCAGAAGAGGAGGAACTGGAAGACTGAACTCCTGGGTTGCAAGGGTTAAAGGGACTAGAGGCTGAGAACCCTGGATCCCAAGGGAGAAGGGGTCTAGGGGCCTGGCCTCCTGATCTGAGGGAGGAGGGGCTGGGGGCCTGGACTCCTGGTCTAACGGAGAAGGGCTGGGGATGGGGACTGCTGGTCTGAGGGAGGAGGGGCTGACAGGTGCATGAAATCCCCATACCTTAGTGAGGGCCTGGTTGGACTCAGAGAAGTCTCCATCAGAGCTTCCCTGAAGGCAATTAAGTTCGAGCAGTCGGCTCCGTTCCTAGGGGGAGGTAAGACATCACAGAGTGCCACACCTCAGCTGTGGAATGGGCCATCCCAGCAGGTTTCCCTGATTCTAGGAGGCATCCGGACAGTGGGGAGGCGACGGGATGCCCGAGGGGAGGCGACGGGATGCCCGAGGGAAGGTGAGACAGTAGGACGGGGGGAATTTACCTGCGTCAGGGCCTGAAGGGCCTCTTCCTTCTTCCGGCTCAGCCCCCGGCTCTCAGCTGCCATTTGTTCCCCCAGCGACTTGAGCTGTTCTTCCAAGACCTGGATCCGGCGCTGCAGGGTACCCCCAGTGCTCTGCTTACTCAGTCGCCCCGTGATCCCCAGCTGGCTCCCACAGACCCAGCTTGGGGCTTGCTCCACCCCATAACAAAGCCCCAGGGAACTTGGTTGCCTGGGAGGAGTTTGAGGGACCCAGAGTTAAGCTCCCTGGTGCCTTCTTCCCTTTTGGGGGTCCAGAAAACACCTGGGGTGGGTTGAAGGGGATAGAGGATTCAATATATAGACAGAGATCAAGGGAGACAAGAGACCCAGAGAAAGTCGCCGAGAACAAAGAAAGGGACAGATAGAAAGACAAACCAGAACAGATACAGAAAAGAAGGACCTAGACAGATTCCCAAGAGACAGAAATGCAGAAAATGGAAACAAGGCAGAAACAACAGAGATGGACAGAAGCTGTGTGACACAGACAAAAGGAAAAGAGAGACTGACAGAAAAAAGATCCAGAAATAGAGGTGGAGAAAGAAAGACTCATGTCAGAACTTCCCAATGCAAAACTTTGGAAATTTTTGTTAAATATAATCAAACATGTCACTTTTCCCAGCAGGCTTTGTTGGACCCTTGAATGTGAAGCTCCCACGAAGGACTGGTGGGAGCATCTTTTTGGACTAGGGTTTGAGAGGTATACAGTGTAGTGGCAAAGACGGAGTCGGTTCAAATCCCAGTTCTATTGGGTTGTCGGAAAAGTCATGACGTATTTTTTCTATGTTTTTCATTGTCAAAATGAGTCATGACTTTTCCGACAACCCAATATCTTTTACAAACTAAGTGACCTTGGAAAAGATTACGTGAGCTCCTTGACCTTCAGTTTCTTCATTTACAAAAATGGGAAAAAATAATAAGACTTGCCCTCCTAGGATTGTTGTAAGGATTCAATGATTAAACACCCATGAAATGTTTAGGGCCATGCCTGGCACATAGTAAATGCTCAATAATCTTCAGCTATTGTTACTATTCTGAAGAACATGACACAGACAGGAAAAAAGGACAGAGAAAGGACCAGACATGGAGTGGAAAAGACTGAGGGCGATGCCAGGGAGGCATGCTAGCCCTGTTCGACTCACCCTGTGCTGTGCCACACTGGCCTGAAGCTCCTGGACCTTGGGGTTCTGCGCCCGAGCCCCTGGGCTGTCCCGATCCTCCTCTCGTCTGCTCTCTCGCTCCAGTTGCTGGAACTCCAAGTCCTCGTAGGAACGCTGGGCCACATCCAGCTGTTCCCTCATCTATGCACGGAAATGCAAAAGGGCTCAGAGGAGTAAGAAACTGGGTCCAGGATCCCTACTCAATGAGGGAGGAGGTGCTGAGGACCTAGACTTGAGTCTTAGGCAGTTAGGGGACTAAAAGTCTGGACTAAGGTCCTGAAAGGGGAGAGGGTCCGCAGGGCCCTCACCTCTTGCACCCTCTGCAGAAGCCGCTCACGCTGGTCCTCCGGCTGAGAGTTGAGCTGTCCCTGGGCCTCCTGGAATCTCTGGCGAAGATGCTCCACGCGATCCCGCTCCTGGCTCAGCCGCCTCTGCTCCTGAAAGAACAGCCAGGCTCTTAGCATCTGCCTGAGCACAGAGACAGACACAGAGGCCAGCAAGAGCCAGGCTGGCTGCACCTCAGACCCCTCCCTGCCTGGGGTGTTGGCTCCAGTAGGGCAGGGACCCTGTGCTTCTGGTTTACTCTTGTACTGGCCTGCCCAGAGTAGGTATTCTGTAAACAGTTGTTCAAGAAATGAATGAATACAAAACATATCCATGCTGGGTGATTAATACTGGGGACTCAGAGGAAGGTCAGACCTGGGCCCTGGGCTCCAGGTTTGGGACACAGCCAGTTACAGCCTGGGACTATCAGGGCAGCGAAACATAGAGGCTATAGGAACCCAGAGAAGGGAGTAATTTCTGTTGGGGTAACCCAAGGTTTCCTGGGTGTTAGGATTTTAAGGTAGGCCTCAAAAATCAGACAGCATTTAGACCTAGGGAGACAGAGGGGGCTGGAAGGGCATTTTGGGCAGAGGGAACAGCATGTTACAAATGCACCATGAAGTTAATAAGTACAGGAAGTTTAGGGGGCAAGCTCTGGTTAGGGAGGAAGAAGAGGTGGTAGAGGGAAGAGATGGGGAGCACAGGGAGAGATGACAGTGGAAAGGCGGGCACAACTCATGTCAGGTTTAGTTAGTCAGGCTGAGCAGCCCTTATCCTGGGGCAACAGGGAGCCATGGAAGGATTGAAATGAGGAACTAGGATCTAGGTGTTAAATCATCCCTCCGGGAGATGGATTTGAGGAGTTGAGACCAACTCCTTCAGGAGTCCTCCAAGCAATAAGAATGAGACCTAAACTAGGGCCTGGGCTGTGGCGATGAAAAGGAGATGGACCAGAGAGGATCAGGGAGCAGAAAGGACAAGACATGCTGACTGATAGGCTAGGGCGTGAGAGAAAGGGAGGTGTGCAGAGCAAAGTCCAGCACTCTGGCCTGGTGACCAAAGGGAGGGTGAGATAGGGTCAATGTAGAAAAGGGAGCTGCTGAGGTCAGCTCTGGCCATGGTGAATGAGAAGGGCCCAGGTTCCTAGGTCTGAGGGAAGAGGGGCTTAAGGGCCTGGACTCCTGGGTCTGAGGGAGGAGGGGCTGGTGGCCTGGATTCCTGGGTCCTCGGGGAGGAACCAGTGTAC